ATCTTTTTAGTACTTTCAGTGATTTCTTTCACTATCACAGACAACTCATTTTATGCTTAATTTTATACTCTAAGAACTATTACAGCCAAAGTTCAAAGTAGATTTATTTAGGAGTCATTGGTCTTCAGTCATTTTGAACATCAAGTAAGCTTTCCTTTCAATATCTTTCTGTTAGTTGGTCATTTTAAATCTCATATTAATGCTTTTAGGTATCATTGGGAAATTTCTGTAGCACAACTGTTTTGTTTCACATTAAGATAAAAGTAACTGTTGTGCTACCTATGAATTATTCCCACTTTACCAAGAATTGGGTATGATGTAACATACTTAATATTAACATAATGTTAAAGATAACTTACTTTTCCTTCAATTATTCATAAAACATTTCAATATTTCTCGGTATGAACCTTAGTCACTGCACTATAAGGAGATAAAATAGGGTCTTGGTTAGATGATTGGTTTGCAGAACAGTGTGACTCACTGTCGCTCTTAGCTATGTGACTTTGGGTCCATTTTTGTCATCACTGTTGACTAGATGAACCACATGACTCTGTAAAGTTTGTTAGAATTTCCTCATATGGAAATTAGCAGCCTTGAAGAGGTGTGATGAAGACCCATACGCTCCTAAAAGGACTTTGAAAACCAATATGGTTTATTACAACTACAGTCATTTCTACATGGTTTCTTTAGTCCACTGCTCCTACTATGTTTCCCACCAAGGTGATTTGTACCACCGTCCAAATGTAGAAACAATCAAATAATCACCAAAACTAGAAACACAGAAGTTGCTCTCCATTCTATTTCCTTCTTCCCTCAATCCAGCTGGTGATCAAGTCCTGAAATCCTAACATTCTACCCCTAGAACATCTCTCAGAGCTAACTCCGTCTTCTCCACAAGCACACACTGCTCCAATTCCATCCCATATTATAATTTTCCTCCTCAGTTTTTGTGGTAAACCCTTACTTGCTCCCCAGCTTTGAGATTTTATTCCTTTTCGATCCATCTTCCACAAGATTGCTAGAATGGCTTCTCTAAAATTCAAATCAGTGACATTACGCCTCACATCAAAATCTTTACTGACTTTAAGGTAAAATCCATATTCCTTAAACAAGGTCCTTAGCAATCTCTCCCTTACCTACTTCCCTTGTCTTATCTCACAACCCTTACTCACATGTATCATAAACTTACGGCATTTTCTTGGTTTTCCTTAGTATGCCATGTTCTTTCATATTTCTGTTCCTTTACCCAAGCTGTCCTTCCATCCTACTCCCTTCACAGCTCTACTCCTAACCCTTCCTGGCCTGACTAATTTCTCTTTGTCCTTTAAGATTGAACTCAAAAGTCTCATCCTCTGTATTTGGCACCTAGTTATTTCTATATATTAATTTTGTATTCTGCTACCTCTGTGAATTATTATGTTTTTGTAAAAATTTTAGTTTACTTTGATTTTTTCTGGGTGTAAAATCAGATTGTATTGAGAGCAGTAATATATGATCCACACTTTTACAGTTTATATGTCTCCAATTTCTTTATCTTCTCTAATTGCATTGGTCTTCCACCCTCAGTATAATGTTAAGTAATAGCCATGGGTAATGGACACTTCTTAAACTTTCCCTCAGAATACATCCAATGGCAGAGGAAATTGTATCAGACTCGCAGCTTGCATGAAATCCTACATTACTTTCATATCTACTATCTTAGCCTTAAAAATATATATAAAATTTACATTTGATTCCATAGAATGCATATATATGGCTTAACATAAAAACATTTTAATTTATTTGTCCTGAAATAAAATTAATCTTTGTTGAAGATGATAATGTTTATCCTGAAGTTTCAAGTATTCTCTGTAAGCTGCCCTGTTTTGTTCTTCAGACATCTGTATAACCCAAGTTTGATAAATAATAAGCACTTGGATGTCGAGGACTAGGTCTTCTATCTCTGGATTCCCAGCATTAAATACAGTATCTAACACCAAGTAGATGTTCAATATTTATTGAAAAAAATGAATGAATGAATGAACGAACAAAAGTTCACTTTTGGAAAAATAGTGTTAAATGTTAGCATTGTGAATAATTGCAATTTTAATTATTTTTCTCATAGAAAAAGTATGACAGACAACATTGTAAAAGTCCTGCACTTTAAAATAATTTTCTGGTCTATATAATAAAACAGAACTTTTTAAAGCTTTTTATAGTTAAAAGTGTAAAATATATAAAAAAGATCACATATTATAAGTACTCAGCTCAATGAATTTTCACATACTCACCAATTTCACAAAACTAACACCCCATCAAAAGGAGAACTTTACCTGCCCCTCAGAAGTCCCCCCATGCTCTCTTTTGGTCACTGCAGCCCTTCCCTTTTTAACAGCATACAGGGAATTCCCTGGCAGTCCAGTGGTTAGGACTCCACACTTCCACTGCAGGGGGCATGGGTCAATCCCTAGGCAGGCAGCTAACATCCCGCAAGCCGCATGGTGCGCCCACAAAACCCCAGCCAAACAAACAGCATACATTAGTTCCACAAAATCTTTTTTTTTTTTTTTTTTGGCCGTGCCCCACCACTTTGATAATAGTAAGCATTAAATAATCATTGAACTTTTGCATTAATTAAACAATTAATAATGAGCAATAAATTCTTTTGAGCTCTTATGTCTAGTTGTCAAATTACGCTGAATTTTGTTTGACTTTCTTTCATTTGTTTAGGGTAGTAGTTCTCCACAGGTAAGAGATGTCTTTCAGGGGACTTATGGCGATATCTGGAGATATTTGGGGTTATCATGACTAGAGCGTGCTACTGACATCTAGTGGGTAAAGGCATGGGTTGCTGCTAAATTTAATTCACAGAACAGCCCCCCACAAAAGGAATTATCTGACCCAAAATATTAGTAATGCCAAGACTGAGAGTAATATTTTCTAAAGAATGGGTGGGTTGTTTATGTTTGATGCAGGTTAGTTCAAATAGGTTATAGCACCATACTAATGGAGCCTAAGGTATCAGGAATTTAATTTCCCTAGGCAGTAGTTCATCTTTCTGTAGTTTAATGCGTCCCAGCCACTGACCAGATGTCCTAAACATTTCTGCTACTGATGACAAGAACGAGATGAGGCAATGTAGAAGAGCCAGTACCACCACTTCTGGAAAAATGCCTCAAAGCATCGTGTTTTGTACATATTCCAAATCCAGCTCTCCCACGTGACTAGTTCTCACTAGGTTGGAATTAGATTATTTACTTTGACTAGGAGCATTGCTTAATTTTGTTATTAGCTCCCTGAATTATTGGTCAACAGACTTAAGGCAGAGGGAGTGGTACCTTATGGACTGCCAGTTAATCCAACTTCAGCCACATTTTCTTATGTTAAATGGAGAATTCTGTAGCTCTCGACAAACATTCATGCATACCCACACACCCCTGCCCTATTCCTTTCTCCCAGGGATTATAGGTCGGAAACAGTACAGTGCACATAAATGCTGATAATAATGTTGGAAATTAATATCTGATAAAGTTGTTCTTCATGGCGGTTTGTCAGGGGGTAGTTTTTTGTGTATTTCAATGTCCCTTGTGGGTTTATTCCATTCTTGTCAAGTTGACCTACAATGAACAGAGAGAGCCAGATTTGAGGCATGGCCCTACAACATTTGTTGGTGTGCAAGAGAGAATTAGTGGCAACATACACCAATTCTGACTTTCCTAATAAAGTATCCTCTAAAATTATTACCTCAGAGAACACTACAACAAACCAAGATTTGTATAGTGGGCACTGTAAACCTACAAGTCCTTAAACTTAATGGAGAAGATGAGCTTAGAATTTGACTATTTGATTCTGCTTCATTTAACTGTGAATGCATATCTAAATGAAAACACTGTGTGAAGAAAATTACTTGGGACAATTTGAATGAAATAATCTCTGCTTTGCGCTGTAGCTTGTTTCTATTATGGGAGCATGGCTTTTATTAGTACTACTTTTAGTCCTCCTAAAAAAGGTAAAATATTTCATAGATCTCTAGGCCTTTTTCAATTCGTATAGAAATTTAACACATTTAACTTTTGGGAGGATGTCAGGTAAAATGTGGTACTTAGTCCCTTTCCTCAGGGAGTTTATTTGGTTGATGAGAGCCACGTGCTCTATGTTAAGTCTTAAAAAATCGGGGAGTTGATTAAGTTCTAATACTTCATTATACTAATAATGTTAATTATGTTTAGTCATTTAGTAATGCATAGTTTAAATAATAATGCTAACTAGTATAAATACTAATAATGCACATAGCGTATTTGGAACAAAGTTTAAGCGCTTTGTCCTTTTTCTCTACATTGGCTTTATTTTTTTATTTTATTTTATTTTTTTTGCGGTACGTGGGCCTCTCACTGTTGTGGCCTCTCCCCTTGCAGAGCACAGGCTCCGGACGCGCAGGCTCAGCGGCCATGGCTCACGGGCCCAGCCGCTCCGCAGCATGTGGGATCTTCCCGGACCGGGCACGAACCCGCGTCCCCCGCATCAGCAGGCGGACTCTCAACCACTGCGCCACCAGGGAAGCCCAGCTTTATTTTTTAGAGCGCTTCACAAGCTGTAGAGAATGGGTGAGGCAGGGCAAGGGTGGAAGCAGCCCAGTGTGAAGACTGTGCAGTACTGAGTTGTGACGGACCCAAGTTAGGCTGGTAACAGAGGCAGTGGTGAGAATATTAAAAGACTGTACTCAAGGCTCAAAATTTTATAAAATAAATACATTTTTTTTACTGTTTCACCAAGAATATTCCTAAGGGAGACTGGCATCTTTTTTTAAAAAAAAAAAAAAGGAAAGCACATGGTGGAGAAGAATACAACAACTAATAGTATAATTTGGTGCCAAGGCCTTGATTCTTGCCAAGACACCAACAGTCTTACCCGCTATTGCTTTTGTGCCATCAATGCAAATGTCAACACAGTGAACTTATACTGAATATTTTAATGCGCTATTTCCAGTAACCAGGCTTCATCCTTTTCTCCTTTGGCTGCAGATCCTAATTATCTCATGGCTAACGAACGCATGAACCTGATGAACATGGCCAAGCTGAGTATCAAGGGCTTGATTGAATCTGCTCTGAACCTAGGGAGAACTCTGGACTCTGACTACGCACCTCTCCAGCAGTTCTTTGTGGTGATGGAGCACTGCCTGAAACACGGCTTGAAAGGTAGACCATGGCCTCCAAATACAAATGTGCACACACCTGTTTCCTAGCAATACATGCTCCAGAAGAGAAGCATTCCTGGTGGAGCCAAAGAATAAGAGTCTTTTTCTTTTTTTTTTTTGCGGTACGCGGGCCTCTCACTGTTTTGGCCTCTCCCGCTGCGGAGCACAGGCTCCGGTTGCGCAGGCCCAGTGGCCATGGCTCTGGGAAGCCCAGGGAAGCCCAACTGTGAGCTTTTGAGGACAGGACCTGGTCTTGTTCACCTTGGCTTCTTTTCCTCCTCCTGCTCCAATCTTTGATAACCTGTCCTTGGATTACATATTCTTTTCCCCTGGACTGTTTTCTTCACTAATACCACACGGCTTTAAGCATGATATTGTTAAAATATTTTATCGTTATTATACAGCTAGTCCATAAATTCTTCCTGAAAGAGGAAGGACCGAGTCTTGGAAAGTAGGGGATTTTTGATTTTTATGAAATGTTATCTATTATGAAAGCATGAATAATTTTAGAACTGTCTGATAACCTGGGATTAATTCCCGGAAAAGCGCACTGAATAGATGGGAGAGGGTATGTGTGTGTTGAGAGTGTGTTTATGTTGTGAAAAATGTTAAAATATTGCTTTGTTTTTATCGCCTTAGCTAAGAAAACTTTTCTTGGACAAAATAAATCCTTCTGGGGGCCTCTAGAACTGGTAGAAAAGCTTGTTCCAGAAGCTGCAGAGATAACAGCAAGTGTTAAAGACCTTCCAGGACTTAAGTAAGTTTAAGGTTCAATTCTGTGTGTCAGGGAAAACATTCTTCTTAACTACCTCCTTTAGGAATGAGACTAAAGACAACGGTGATCATAATAATTTATTTCATAACAGTCCAGAATGCAAAATGCTGTTATGAATAAGTGATGTTACGAGAGAACTGGTAGCGTAGAATAATGAGAAGTGTGAGGGGTAATTATTCTTTATCTAAGAAAGGTTGTCTTCATGTTAAAATACCAAATGTTCTCTTTTTTTTAAAAACACTTGTGGGTATCAGCTAGTGAGTCTCAAGAAGTTAGATCTAGGGAGGTGGCGTGTTGGGCTTAAGACAAACAATGTGTTTGATGAGAACCAAGATTGAAACAGTTGTCAAGTGAGCCTCAGGATCTGACACCCGGAACCTGCCTTGGGACTTGAAAAAGAGTGGTAATCACCTTCCCAAATTAGATTGGTCTAATTGTAATCAAGTAGAGGTCTAAGTGGCCTGTGTCCTGATTATTGTTATTCGGGTCCTTACATGATCCACACTAAATTTATAAGGATTCACCAAAACTAGTCTGATGGAGCATTTTCAGTTTGGCCTTCCAGAGGTCTTGTCTTCAAATCATAGTCTCATTCAGTAATTAATTCCTCACGAGAGCATTTGTCCCAAACACACCCCTGGCTCCCACTGGCCCACACAGAAGTCCTCCCACAGGAATGTGGTGGGAGAGGCTGTGAGGGGCACGTCCTGTGCACCTTATACTGGGGGGGCCCGTTAGCGGGAGTAAATGGACCTGTCCCACTGTGGCCTCTAGCTCTGCTACTTTTAGTTGGTTTCTGTGTTTTTGTAGGACACCAGTAGGCAGAGGAAGAGCCTGGCTTCGTTTGGCATTGATGCAAAAGAAACTTTCAGAGTATATGAAAGCTCTGATCAATAAAAAGGAACTTCTCAGGTATGAAGATCTTCTCGTTGAGCTTCCTTCTTTTTCTCCCCATGTTCTTATCATATGAGGCTGAAGCATATAAATTTATCATTTTGGGGGGTCAGAAACATTCGATTCATGACAATTTCACGTAGCTCAGCTAATACCTTCTCCCACATCACACACACACATACGCAAGAATAGATGTTTTTATATTAAGTGTGTTCACACTGTCTCTGTGGCATATGTATGGTCCTTTGCAGGACAGGTCAAAACTTAACAGGGAAGGCTTTTGACACCTTAGCATATACCCAGGCTCACTAAGACAGGAAGTTGACGTGTAACATTAAATTCAAATACAGCACACAAAAAAATTTCCAGTTGAGTCATAGGTACAAATGGGAATGAGAAAACTATAAAGCTTTTAGAAGAAACATAAAGTAGACAAAAATTTCTTAAACACAAAAAGTTCTACCTGTAAAGGAGAAAATGGCTAAATTGGTTACATTAAAATGAAGAACTTCTGTCCATCAAAAGTCACTCTTGAGATTAAGAGGTAACCGATAACTCTAAAGGAGATATTTGCAATACATAATACATATATTCAACAAATTATGCATACTCATGGTGTATAAAGAACTCCGTCAGTCCAAAAAGAAAAAGGCAGACGAGCAAAGACAGAACTGGGTAAAGGACTTGAACAAGCCTCTCACAGAAGAAGAAAATTGAAATGGCCAGTAAAAATATTAAAAGATACCTAACTTCATTAGCCATGTTGTAAATTCAAGTTAAAACAAGAGTGTGATAACCTCACACAACCACCAGAATGGGTAAAATGAAAAAGACAGGTCATCGCAGGTGTTGGTGAGGATGTGAAGTTACTTTAATGTCCTGCTGATGAGTGAATTGGTATAGAAATTTAAGAAAACTGTTTGTCATCCTCTAGTAAAGCTGATCATGAGCATTCCTTGTGATCGAGGATTCTGCTTCTAGTTGTTGTATCCAATAAAAAATGCATAGTTATATCCAACAAAAGACATGAACAAGAGTGTTCATAGTTATTACAATGTTTGTACCAGCCCCAAATGTTTGTAATAGACCCCAAGTATCTATTCACAGTAGAATGGGTAGGTAAATTATGGTATACTCATACAATGAAATACCATATAGCAGCTACACACAGCCATATGGATTAATCTCACAAGTGTAATGTTGGGCAAATGAAACCAGACATGAAAAATACATTCTGCATTATTCCATTTATATAAAGTTCAGAAACGTACACAATTTATCTTTCATGATAGAAGTCAGGAAAGAGCTACCACTGGCAGGGTAGGGGTAGTAAATGCGGAGTAGAAGGGAGCACAAGGTGGCTTTGGAGGTTCTGATGATGTACTGATTTTTAATATAGTGCTGGTTACATAGGTGTGTTCTCTGTGTGAAAACTCATTCCACTGTATTGTATGATTTGTGTACTTTTTAATATATACTTTATAGGTCATTAATATTTACTAAAAGAAATTCAAGTGTAGCAGACTGCCTCTGAGAAATATTGTAAGAAGAGTAAGTAATCGAGAATTTAAAGACATGGCTGAATTTTTCAAGAGCCTAGTTTTTACAAAAAATTGCGCTGCAGATCCTAACATGGGGCATTGTTTTAATGTTGCTGCAGCTGCGTGTGCCATTGATTGCTGTTTTCTTGCCTAAGAAAATTAAACAAATCAGGGGAAAGAGAAACAGTAACCATTCTGGAGAGCTTATTTATTTCCACAAGGGGAAGGCTCAACTTTCCAAGGATCAAGCCTTAAAGTGGTGTAGGGTCTAGTGTTCAAGCTGTAGGCGGCTACAAAATTATATGATTCAGTTGGGGTCTGAAGAATTAGCTCTTCATCCAGCAGAGCGCTAGAGTAAATGCATTCAGTCTTACGAACTAGACGGAACACTTTTTTTTTTTTTTTTTTGCGGTATGCGGGCCTCTCGCTGTTGTGGCCTCTCCCGTTGCGGAGCACAGGCTCCAGACGCGCAGGCTCAGCAGCCATGGCTCACGGGCCCAGCCGCTCCGCGGCACATGGGATCTTCCCGGACCGGGGCACGAACCCGTGTCCCCTGCATTGGCAGGCGGACTCTCAACCACTGCGCCACCAGGGAAGCCCGGGAACACTTTTCAATACATATTTTCACTTACTTTGACTCAGCACTTTCAGACCCTAGGTATGTCTAACAGAAATACATGTGTATATGTACCCAAACCCATGTGCAGTAGTGTTCAGCAAAGCACTGTAGCCTGCACAACTGAAACAGCAAATAGAATGAATCCATTGTGGTATATCCCTACCATGGAATACTGTCCAGAGGTGAAAGTGAATGAACTACTATTGCATACAACAATACAGTATATGTATTACTAAATCACTTTGCTGCATACCTGAAACTAACATAACATTGTAAGTCAACTATACTCCAATATAAAATAAAAAAATTTTAAATATATATAAAATTAAATTTAAAAAATAAAGCGGATCAGAAAAAAGGCAATTTTTTAAAAACAAAATAATCGGTTTTTTTAAGACGCATGAAAGATTGAAAAATTATCCCCTGGTGCGTTACAAATACAGATATGTGGCAGAAGCATGAATGCTCACTTCAGTGAAAATACCATTCTAATCACTTTTCTTTCAGCTGGACTGTCTATTATCTAGAGTCTGTTCATGTCCCTATTATCTAAAATAAAGTATCCAAGTAATCCTTGTTTTTACTTTTTTGCTGTTACTATAGATGACCATATTTAACCACGAGGCAAGTGCTTTTCTCCTTGTCTCATGGTTACATCATTGGATTCTTGAGGTTTTATTACAGTAGACTGTTTCATGGATTTCTCTTACAGTGAATTCTATGAACCCAATGCCCTCATGATGGAAGAAGAGGGAGCCATAATTGCTGGTCTGTTGGTGGGTCTGAATGTCATTGATGCCAATTTCTGTATGAAAGGAGAAGATTTGGACTCTCAGGTATGAGGAAGATACTTGGTTACCTAGTGTGTCACTCTGAGTTCTGTTATCTCAGAATTTGGATTGATCAGATTATACCAACCAAATTAGGGGAACTTCTATGAGTCATAAATAGGATTTTCTTTATTTTTGATGTGAATATAAAAAATGTTTGTTTTTCCTTCCAGCTTGGCTTATTTATGCATAATGAATGTTTTTCAAATTCTTGTCTTAACTGTGATCCCTGTTAAAAATATTTTGCACAGGGTAAAATATATATATATATATATGCTGTGTGCTGTGTGGTTCAGCAGCAAACATATGTATATGTGTTTGCCGTAGCATCTTATGGAAAAACCCAAACAAACTTTTTGGCCAACCTAATATATGTACACACATATAAGCCAAAATATATACACAGGGGTTTAGTAGCAGAATATTTTAAATAAGCAAGAGAGAAAGAAATGTTAAACCTTAATTTATATTAAGTATTCAGTTGACTTTCTTAGCCATGTCCTACTGACTTAATCTTGGTTCTTTATTTACAACCCTTGCCAATTCTTTTTTTTTTTTTTTTAAGGAGGAGCATTTTTTTTTTAAGTTACCTTTTCCAACTTTTTTTTCCTTCTCTTTTGTTGGCTACGTTGGGTCTTCGTTGCTGCGCACGGGCTTTCTCTAGCTGTGGCGAGCAGGGGCTACTCTTTGTTGCAGTGCACGGGCTTCTCATTGCTGTCGCTTCTCTTGTTGTGGAGCGTGGGCTCTAGGCGCGTGGGCTACAGTAGTTGCAGCACTCAGGCTCAGTAGTTGTGGCTTACAGGCTGTAGAGCACAGGCTCAGAAGTTGTGACACACAGGCTTAGTTGCTCCGCGGCATGTGGGATCTTCCCGGACCAGGAATCGAACCCGTGTCCCCTGAATTGGCAGGCGGATTCTTAACCACTGCGCCACCAGGGAAGTCCCGTCAATTTTTTTTTTTTTAACATCTTTATTGGGGTATAATTGCTTTACAACCGTCAATTCTTGATTATAATAAAACATTAAATTTTTATTAAAAATTTCTAGTAGTTGTCATGACCGTAATACTATTTTGAGTACCTAAAAAGAGACATTGTGTTATGCCTTGGGAAAAGTATCTAATTTTATATTGAATTCTGAACATTCTCTCTGTAGGTTGGAGTTATAGATTTTTCAATGTATCTCAAGGATGGGAACAGCAGTAAAGGTAGTGAAGGGTACGTACAAAGAAAATTAGTTTTCTTTTTTCTTTAATGTTCTTTGATAGTATTTAAAGTTTACAACAGTACTGCTTTAACACATGTGCTGAAAGAATTTCTGATGAGATAGCTTTAATAGAATCTTGTCAAAAATATCTGACAATTATGCCTGCTAAACCCTAAAATTTAGGGATTTTAGTTAAGTAGATTTTCCTACTATGTAGCTCAGGGGCAAACAAAATAAAAATTTTTATAAAAGGAATCAAATGCTTCATCTCTTAAAAGTAATGTTTGGAAACATGGTTTTCTTGACCAGAAGGATTGCATCGTCGGTTTGCTTAAAATTTGCACTATTACATGTGCATCATGGGATTATGTAAAATGCTAATATTAGGGGGAGCTGAGTGTATGGGAACTGGGCACTACTTTTACAACTTCTGTAAATCTAAAATAATTTCAAAATTTAAAGTTTTAAAAATATTCATATGGTACTTGGAAATTAGCGATCAGAAACTCACCTTTTACCTTTATAAATTGAGCAGTTGAAAGCATAGTCTGAAATTTTTAACCTTAGGCATTGAGCTAAGGTTATATTGCTTGTCCTTTTAGTAGTCATAGAGGTATGTGGCCTTGAATTTTGTTTTTCAGTTGAAAAGTCTGTCTGTTTAACTTCCGCCTATTCTAGATTATCTGGTCCCAGAAGTGAACCTTCTTTTTCCACAGTTAATTTACTCATGGAATAATAAACACCTGATCTTTGTGAAAGCCTTTTATACCATTCACTTTGAAGCCAAACAGCAGTTAAAGGCAAATAAATATATAGCCTTTGAGAACAATAATTATTTCACCCAAATAAGCTTAATTCAATTCCTATGACAAATGGAAAATTGTTATGATAAATAATACTAACAAAGCTAAAATAAAAATCTATCAATTGTGAGAAGAAACTTTTTATTCTTTAAATGCCTCTAACAGATTGTACATTATACCTATAACCTAAGTTATTAAGATATATAAGCTATAGCAAGAGCTTTATTAATATGCAGGGGTGGTTTCCATTTTAAACCTCCAAGTCTCTTGTTGATATGCCAAGGGGATTATACATCAGGTCTGTCTTCTGATACAGTGTGTCTGTGCCATAATTTCCTTTCTATGTTTTATGAAAAGATTAGGGGTGGGGCATCTTGGTATTTCTAATATTATTTACTTTTTTTCTATTTTTTTTTTTTCCCCTCAGAGATGGCCAGATTACTGCAATTCTGGATCAGAAGAACTATGTAGAAGAACTCAACAGACATCTGAAGTAAAGAATGAATAAATACTATTACGTTACTGGGGGTTTTGGTGTGGGGGAAGGGAAAGGTAAACTGATGAGCAGTTAGGATAAATTCAGACAATACTCAACAAATATATATAGAATTACTGCTTACCAGGCACTGAGCTAGACACTGGATATGTGGCATTTAACTGTTTAGTGAACTTTAATGAAAAGCAATATAAAATCAGTATGTAATTAGAATTTTAGTGATTATGTTAATATATTCAGTTAAGAACTCTTAAGTTTGTGACATAGTTGAAATTGGAGGTCTTCTTGGTTCGGTAGATCCAGCCACATATTTCAGGACTAAATCTTGGGTAAAGCACTCATCACTTTAGTACCTTTAATTGTATCTCGTTGGTCCCTTGCACTTCTCATACATTGGATTGATAGTATTAATTTACCCTTTTTCCACCATCACTACCATTAATTTACCAAGTACTCACCAAGTATTTTTCATGACCAGGTTATAAAACAATCTCTTCTTTCCTGAGGAGAGCTATCCAAAATTTATTGGTATTCTCAAGTGTACTGATGGTCTAAAAACTGTTGAATAATTCAGAAGAATTAATATACCCATTAATTACCTTATTTATAGTTCTCTTTTGAAAGATAATCATTTTAATTTAAGTAAGACCTAAAATGTGACTATACCAGTATCAATATAAATTATAGTCTTGGTTCCATTTAGAAAACTCAAGAACAATTTAAGTACATTTTCTCTGGGGACTGAGTACTAATAATGAACTGACAGTAAACTGTGGAGATGTTAACCTAGCAAAGATGTGGTTACAGTTGACAAATACAAATATGACCCTATTATTTACTCTTTCAATGCCTCCATTTCTTTATCTATAATAACAGCCCCCTACCTAGCACATGGGGTTGTTGAAAGGAGTAATGAAATAATGCAAGTAAAATCAGAAGAGTGCTTGGGGTATGGCAAGCACATCATAATTCATGTAGCCCATTATTATTATTACTATTATTATTATTTAAGTAAACAAAGTTTACTGTGTAGTGCATCAACTCTTTTATTTCATCAACAAATACTTATTAAATACAAACTTCAGTGCCAAGAATGGAGCAGGTAAGACACACATCACCTTCTAAGCTGTCTTAGAGCCTACAAGTCTGTCAAGAATTATGGACAGTCAACAATGAAAGTATAATGAGTATTTTAAAAGAAAGTACAGGATATTGCTCTGTTTATCAAAAGAGACTATTATGTTTTTTCTTCTCTTGATAGTGCTACTGTAAACAACCTTCAGGCAAAAGTGGATGCGTTAGAAAAATCCAACACTAAACTGACAGAGGAGGTAAGTGTTTTGGAAGTTTTCTGATTTACTTATAGAATTTAGTAGAGTGTATTAGTGGAAAATAATTTCTCTGGAGCCTGGAAATAAAGGACTTGACTTTTCAGATAATATCTACTATAGGACTCCTTGTTCTGACCAGGAATGGCCAGCTGGCTTATCTGAGGGGTCTCAGTTATCCAGTTGGAATATGAAGTCATAGAACCTGGGCTGATCAAATATTTTGCTTTCTTTTGTGAAGGTTTTGTCTGGGCTAGCCTAGAGTTAATGTTTAGCAGGTAGCGTGATATTCATCATTTATTCATTCATCAAACAATTTGGGTACTACGTATGTGCCAGAGCTAGACAAAGATTTATATCTGCCAGGCATTGATTTACGTGTGCCAGATTGGCAAGTTCCCGCCTTCAAGGGTTTTATTTTCTCCTTGGGGTGATGGGGTAGATGACATAAAGAACACGGGTCAGGAGACCAGTACTAATAATGAACTAACAGTAAACTGTGGGGATGTTAGCCTAGCAAAGATGTGGTTGCAGTTGACAATGAAATAACAAATATGACCCTATTATTTACTCTTTCATTGCCTCCATTTCTTTATCTATAATAATAACTCCATACCTAGCACATGGGGTTGTTGAAAGGAGTAATGAAGTAATGCAAGTAAAATCAGTTAGAAGAGTGCTTGGTGTAGCAGTTTACATGTCATGTGCTCCTGAGCAAGTAAGTCACTTGACCTCCAAGAGGCCCAGTTCCCTAACTGGCAAATTAGAGTGTTTCCCCTTTTAGCTCACAATTACCCTGAAGATCAAGTAAGAATATACATGTGAAAACTCTTAGAAAAGTCCCTAAAATTAGAATGGAAAAATAACCTCATATTTTACTTCTGATTAATTTTTTTTCCCCTAACTTACCAACGGCTAAGCGACATATTTTTTTCTTCAGTAGCATTAGACGTTTCTATGAGAAACCTTAAATAAAATTTTTTAGGTGGCAAAGACTTTATCTTCTCTTTCTCAAATTATAACTATCCTATTACATACAGTGAGAAAAATTTGGTTAAGTACAACAACATAGATGGACCTGGAGGGTATTGTGCTTAGTGAAATAAATCTGAGAGAGAAAGACAAATACTGTATCTTATTTAAATGTGGAATCTAAAAAATGAAACAAATGAATATAAAACAAAACAGAAACAGACTCACAGATATAGAGAACAAACTAGTGGTTAACAGTGGGGAGGGGCAAGATAGGGGTAGGGGATTAAGAGGTACAAATTATTATGTATAAAATAAATAAGCTACAAGAATATATTGTATAGTATAGGGAATATAGCCAATATTTTATAATAACTTTAAGGTTATAATATATAAAAGTATATAATCTACATATTTTATATATAGATTTTATATATATAAAGTATAATCTATAAAAATATTGAATCACTATGTTGTACACCTGAAACTAATATAATATTGTAAATCATCTATACTTCAAAAAAAAATTTTGGTCTAAAATAAGCAAGTTAAAGCACTAGTCAGGAAACGCTATCTAATCAGATTTTTTTCAGAAGGAAAAAATCATTGTTCATTGTTATGACTTTAAAACACCTTCCATATTACTCAGTTCTGGGGGCTTTAGTTTTGGATGTAGATTCTTAAATTATATTAAAACTTTAATTTATTGATATGACCCTTAGAATTTTATGCCACAAGGCTTTGGAAACATTCTGCAGAGCAGTTTTCTACTGTGATTCTACTGCTGTTATATTGAGGCAGTGTGGCATATTAATTAAGCCTGCTCTCCAGAGCTAGACTTGAATTTGTGTCCCAGGTCTGGCGCTTGCTAGCTTTCTGATCCTGGGCCAGTTACTTGAGCTCCTGTTCTTTGGTTTACTTATCTGTAGAATGGGGATAAGAAGAAGAAGAAGAAGAAGATTTTTGTACAAATTAAATGATTTAATGCATAAGGGACTAGACTAGTGCCTGACACATCATAAGCACTCAGTAAATATAAATTTTATTCCCTCAGTCACAGGACTTGTGTTCTTGGCCTAAACTTATCTTACCAACAATATTAATTTATTCGTTTACTTATTTATCTTACCAGTAATATTTATTTTCTTAAAGCTTTGAACTTTTAGAGATAGGAAAGCACTGTGTGTAGACTTTATAAAGAGCAGACAAGGCTAATAAGTTCTGCCCTCTCTCATTTCCATCTATTTTGGATTTAAAGGGACCAGTAAAAAACAAAACAAAACAAAAAAGGCCTCTTTTCCCCTCCTGAGTTCTGAACCAATATGACAAAATGAGAAGAAATGAGCAGATGAAGGTAAATAAACATCCACTTTATGTTGGTAAAGCTGACTTAGAAAGTGCACTTGGATCTGCAGTCGTCACTTGTAATATTTTCTCTGATGATGAGACCTTGGAAGAAGCAGTCCGAGGTGCGCTTGGATCTAGAGAGCAGACCCGTCTGCCCAGAGTTACTTCTTTATGCATTTTAGGCCCACAGAGCAGAGAGAGAAATGGGCTGCCATACCTGCCTCTAGAAAGCTTGCCTGAGCTTGGCTCCTCTGTACTTACATAGTAGAACAGGAACCAAGCAGAGATGACGAAAAGGGAGACTAGCCTGGCTGAGAGGAGTCTGCTCAGTTCCTTTCCTAGCCTCCTTCAGGCACCGTCCCACTCTCTGTGGGAACTGAGCTCAGTAGGTACAGAGGAGAGCGTTTCCACCGTACTCTTCCCTCCAGTGGAATAGGGTTATAAACATTTCCCCTAGAGATACACTGCCAATAACATTACCTTGTCTTTGTAGGTGCTGAAAAGAAAAATCTCTTTAATGCTTAATGGCATCTTTTAGAGTGAGAACTTTGGAATCCATTCCTTACTCTCTTAAAAATTATATGTAGGGACTTCCCTGGTGGTCCAGTGGTAAAGAATCCACCTTACAATGCAGGGAATGCGGGTTTGATCCCTGACCAGGGATCTAAGATCCCACGTGCCGTGGGACAGCTAAGCCCGCGTGCCTCAACTAGTGCCCACGTGCCGCAGAAACTACAGAGCCCACACGCTCTGGAGCCTGGGTGCCACTACTAAAGAAGAGAAACCCACACACTACAACAAAGAGCCCGCACGCCACAATGAAAGATCCCGCATGCCACAAGTAAGACCCAATGCAGCCTACAATAAACTAAATACATAAATAAATAATAAATAAATCTTTAAAAAGAAAGTTGAACATTTAAAAAAAAATTATCTGTTAAAGGTTTTATGGAGGGTTTGTAAGATGGGTCCCAAGGCATGAGGTGACCTCTTATACATTTTAGAAATAGTTTTTTTTCAGGAGACCTTCAAGATGGTGGAGGAGTAAGATGTGGGGATCACCTCCCTCCCCACAAATACATCAGAAATACATCTATATGTGGAACAACTCCTACAGAACACCTACCGAATGCTGGCAGAAGACCTCAGACTTACCAAAACCCATGTGGCTGACAGGGTCTTGGTGCTCCGGCCAGGTGTCAGGCCTGTGCCTCTGAGGCAGGAGAGCCAAGTTCAGGACATTATCCACCAGAGACCTCCCAGCTCCATGTAATATCAAACGGCGAAAGCTCTCCCAGAGATCTCCATCTCAACGCTAAGACCCAGCTCCACTCAACAACCAGCAAGCTACAGTGCTGGACACCCTAAGCCAAACAACTAGCAAGACAGGAACACAACCTCACCATTAGCAGAGAGGCTGCCTAAAATCATAGTAAGGTCACAGACACCCCAAAACACACCACCAGACACAGTCCTGCCCACCAGAAAGACAAGATCCAGCCTCATCCACCAGAACACAGGCACTAGTCCCCTCCTCCAGGAAGCCTACACAACCCACTGAACCAACCTCACCCACTGGGGGCAGACACCAAAAACAATGGGAAGTACGAACCTGCAGCCTGTGAAAAGGAGACCCCAAACACAGTAAGTTAAGCAAAATAAGAAGACAGAGAAACACACAGCAGATGAAGGAACAAGGAAAAAACCCACCAGACGAAATAAATGCAGAGAAAATAGGCATGCTACCTGAAAAAGAACTCACAGTAATGATAGTAAAGGTGATCCAAAATCTTGGAAATAGAATGAAGAAAATACAAGAAACGTTTAACAAGGACCTAGAAGAACTAAAGAGCAAACAAACTGATGAACAGCACAATAAGTGAAATTTAAAATTCTCTAGAAAGAATCAAAAGTAGAATAACTGAGGCAGAAGAACCGATAAGTGACCTGGAAGATAAAATAGTGGAAATAACTACTGCAGAACAGAATAAAGAAAAAAGAATGAAAAGAATTGAGGACAGTCTTAGAGACCTCCGGGACAACATTAAACGCACCAACATTCGAATTACAGGGGTCCCAGAAGAAGAAGAGAAGAAGAAAATATGTGAAGAGATTATAGTTGAAAACTTCCCTAATATGGGAAAGGAAATAAGTTTAGGAAGCGCAGAGAGTCCCATACAGGATAAATCCAAGGAGAAACATGCCAAGACACATATTAATCAAACTATCAAAAATTAAATACAAAGAACAAATATTAAAAGCAGCAAGGGAAAAACAACAAATAACATACAGGGGAATCCCCATAAGGTTAACAGCAGATCTTTCAGCAGAAACTCTGCAAGCCAGAAGGGAGTAGCAAGACATATTTAAAGTGATGAAAGGGAAGAACCTACAAACAAGATTACGCTACCCAGCAAGGATCTCATTCAGATTCAGCGGAGAAATTAAAATCTTTACAGACAAGCAAAAGCTAAGAGAATTCAGCACCACCAAACCAGCTTTACAACAAATGCTAAAGGAACTTCTCTAGGCAGGAAACACAAGAGAAGGAAAAGACCTACAATAGCAAACCCCAAATAATTAAGAAAATGGTAATAGGAACATACATATCAATAATTACCTTAAATGTAAATGGATTAAATGCTCCCACCAAAAGACAGACTGGCTGAATGGATACAAAAACAAGATCCGTATATGTCGTGTCTACAGGAAACCCACTTCAGACCTAGGGACACATACAGACTGAAAGTGAGGGGATGGAAAAAGATATTCCATGCAAATGGAAATCAAAAGAAAGCTGGGGTAGCAATTCTCATGTCAGACAAAATAGACTTTAAAATAAAGACTATTACAAGAGACAAGCATAATGATCAAGGGATCAATCCAAGAAGAAGATATAACAACTGTAAATATTTATGCACCCAAAATAGGAGGACCTCAATATATAAGACAAATGCTATCAGCCATAAAGGGGGAAATCAACAGTAACAGTCACAGTCATAGTAGGGGACTTTAACACCCCGCTTTCACCAATGGACAGATCATCCAAAATGAAAATAAATAAGGAAACGCAAGCTTTAAATGGTACATTAAACAAGATGGCCTTAATTGATATTTGTAGGACATTCCACCCAAAAACAACAGAATACACTTCCTTCTCAAGTGCTCATGAAACATTCTCCAGGATAGATCATATCTTGGGTCACAAATCAAGCCTTGGTAAATTTAAATTTAAGAAAATTGAAATTCTATCAAGTATCTTTTCCAACCACAATGCTATGAAGCTAGATATAAATTACAGGAAAAAATCTGTAAAAAATACAAACACATGGAGGCTAAACAATATACTACTTAATAAACAAGAGATCATTGAAGAAATCAAAGAGGAAATAAAAAATACCTAGAAACAAATGACAATGAAAACAAGATGACCCCAAACCTATGGGATGCCGCAAAAGCATTTCTAGGAGGGAAGTTTATAGCAATACAGTCCTACCTCAAGAAACAAGAAATGTCTCAAATAAACAACCTAACCTTACACCTAAATCAGTTAGAGAAAGAAGAAAAAAAAAAACCCCAAAGTTAGCAGAAGGAAAGAAATCATAAAGATCAGATCAGAAATAAATGAAAAAGAAATGAAGGAAACAGTAGCAAAGATCAATAAAACTAAAAGCTGGTTCTTTGAGAAGATAAACAAAATTGATAAACCATTAGCCAGACTCATCAAGAAAAAAAGGGAGAAGACTCAAATCAATAGAATTAGAAATGAAAAAGGAGAAGTAACAACTGACACCACAGAAATACAAAGGATCATGAGAGATTACTACAGGCAACTATATGCCAATAAAGTGGACAACCTGGAAGAAGTGCACAAATTCTTAGAAAAGCACAACCTTCGAAGACTGAACCAGGACGAAATAGAAAATATAAACAGACCAGTCAACAAGCACTGAAATTGAGACTGTGATTAAAAATCTTCCACCAAACAAAAGCCCAGGAACAGATGGCTTCACAGCCGAATTCTATCAAACATTTAGAGAAGAGCTAACAGCTATCCTTCTCAAAATCTTCCAAAATATAGCAGAGGTTGGAACACTCCCAAACTCATTCTACAAGGCCACCATCACCCTGATACCAAAACCAGGCAAAGATGTCACAAAGAAAGAAAACTACAGGCCAATATCACTGATGAACATAGATGCAAAGATCCTCAACAAAATACTAGCAAACAGAATCCAAGAGCACATTAAAAGGATCATACACCATGATCAAGTGGGGTTTTTCCCAGGAATGCAAGGATTCTGCAGTATACGCAAATCAATCAATGTGATGAACCATATTAACAAATTGAAGGATAAAACCCATATGATCATCTCAAAAGATGCAGAAAAAGCTTTCAACAAAATTCAACACCAATTTATGACAAAAACCCTCCAGAAAGTAGGCATAGAGGGAACTAACTTACCTCAACATAATAAAGGCCATATATGACAAACTCACAGCCAACATCATTCTCAGTGGTGAAAAACTGAAACCATTTCCTCTAAGATCAGGAACAAGACAAGGTTGTCCACTCTCACCACTATTATTCAACATGGTTTTGGAAGTTTTAGCCACAGCAATCAGAGAAGAAAAAGAAATAAAAGGAATCCAAATCAGAAAAGAAGAAGTAAAGCTGTCACTGTTTGCAGATGACATGACACTATACATAGAGAATCCTAAAGATTATGCTACCAGAAAACTACTAGAGCTAATCAATGAATTTGGTAAAGTAGAGGCATACAAAATTAATGCACAGAAATCTCTTGCATTCCTATACACTAATGATGAAAAATCTGAAAGAGAAATTAAAGAAACACTCCCATTTACCACTGCAACAAAAAGAATAAAATACCTAGGAATAAACCTACCTAAGGAGACAAAAGACCTGTATGCAGAAAACTATAAGACACTGATGAAAGAAATTAAAGATGATACAAACAGATGGAGAGATATACCATGTTCTTGGATTGGAAGAGTCAACATTGTGAAAATGACTATACAACCCAAAGCAATCTACAGAGTCAATGCAATCCCTATCAAACTACCAATGGCATTTTTCACAGAACTAGAACAAAAAATTTCACAATTTGTATGGAAACACAAAAGACCCCAAATAGCCAAAGCAACCTTGAGATAGAAAAACGGAGCTGGAGGAATCAGGCTCCCGGACTTCAGACTATACGACAGTGCTACAGTAATCAAGACGGTATGGTACTGGCACAAAAATGGAAATATAGATCAATGGAACTGGAGAGAAAGCCCAGAGATAAACCCATCCACATATGGTCACCTTACTTTTGATAAAGGAGGTAAGAATATACAATGGAGAAAAGACAGCCTCTTCAATGAGTGGTGCTGGGAAAACTGGACAGCTACATGTAAAAGAATGAAATTAGAACACTCCCTAACACCACACACAAAACTAAACTCAAAATGGATTAAAGACCTAAATGTAAGGCCAGACAGACTATGAATCTATAAAACTCTTAGAGGAAAACATAGGCAGAACACTCTGTGACGTACATCACAGTAAGATCCATTTTGACCCACCTCCTAGAGAAATGGAAATAAAAACAAAAATAAACAAATGAGACCTAATGAAACTTAAAAGCTTTTGCACAGCAAAGGAAACCATAAACGAGATGAGAAGACAGCCCTCAGAATGGGAGAAAATATTTGCAAATGAAGCAACTGGCAAAGGATCAATCTCTAAAATATACAAGCAGCTCATGCAGCTCAATATCTAAAAAAAACAAGCCACCGAATCCAAAAATGGGCAGAAGACCTAGGTAGACATTTCTCCAAAGAAGATATACAGATTGCCAACAAACACATGAAAAGATGCTCAACATCACTAATCATTAGAGAAATGAATATCAAAACTACAAGGAGGTATCACCCTCACACCAGTCAGAATGGCCATCCTCAAAAAATCTACAAAGAATAAAGGCTAGAGAGGGTGTGGAGAAAAGGGAACCCTCTTGCACTGTTGGTGGGAATGTAAGTTGATACAGCCATTATGGAGAACAGTATGGAGGTTCCTTAAAAAACTGAAATTAGAACTACCATACAACCCAGCAATCCCACTCCTGTGCATATACCCTGAGAAAACCATAATTCAGAAAGAGTCATGTACCACAGTGTTCATTGCAGCTCTATTTACAATAGCCAGGATATGGAAGCAACCTAAGTGTCCATCGACAGATGAATGCATAAAGAAGATGTGGCCTGTATATACAATGGAATATTACTCAGCCATAAAAAGAAACGAAATTGAGTTATTTGTAGTGAGGTGGATGGACCTAGAGACTGTCATACAGAGTGAAGTAAGTCAGAAAGAGAAAAATAAATACCGCATGCTAACACATATATATGGAATCAAAAAAAAAAAAAGGTTCTGAAGAACCTAGGGGCAGGACAGGAATAAAGACGCAGTCGTAGAGAATGGACTTGAGGACACAGGGAGGGGGAAGGGTAAGCTGGGAGGAAGTGAGAGAGTACATGGACTTATATACACTACGAAATGTAAAATAGATGGCTAGTGGGAAGCGGCTGCGTAGCACAGGGAGATCAACTCGGTGCTTTGTGACCACCTAGAGCGGTGGCATAGGGAGGGGGGAGGAAGACGCAAGAAGGAGGAGATATGGGGATATATTTATATGTATAGCTGATTCACTTTGTTTTAAAGCAGAAACTAACACACCATTGTAAAGCAATTATACTCCAATAAAGATGTTAAAAAAAAAAAGAAATAGGTTTTTTAAATTTTTTTTTGGCTGCGATGGGTGTTCATTGCTGTGTACGGGCTTTCTCTAGTTGTGGCTACTCTTCGTTGTGGTGCATGGGCTTCTCATTGCAGTGGCTTCTCTTGTTGTGGAGCGCGGGCTCTAGGCGAGTGGGCTTAAGTAGTTGTGGCTCGTGGGCTCTAGAGCGCAGGCTTAGTAGTTATGGCGCACAGGCTTAGTTGCTCCGCAGCATGTGGTCTCTTCCTGGACCAGGGCTCGAACCCATGTCCTCTGCATTGGCAGGCGGATTCTCAACCACTGTGCCAGCAGGGAAGTCCAGAAATAGATTTTATAACTAAATATAATTACAAGTTATCCATGAGGAGACCCTTGAGGTAAATAATTGTAAGATAACATTGTGGTACTGAAAAAATGTTTACGCTAAAAGCAGTAATAGGAGATATTTTTTATTTTTATCTTTAAAGACATTTCTCCTAAGTTCCCTATAAGAACATTTTTATGGGGCTATAGATAGCTTTCTTTCCTTCTAAGAATAGCTAAGCCTGAAAATGATGTCCTAGCAGATCATGAATTATCTTATCCTGTGTTTAGTGAAAGAAAGATAACGATTATTTTTAAAATTTTATCAACAGCTTGCAGTTGCAAACAACAGGATTATTACCCTGCAAGAAGATATGGAACGAGTTAAAGAGGAAAGCTCCTACATATTGGAATCTAATCGGAAGGTTAATCTTACTGGATTTATGAAATATTCCCAGAGAGCATGTCATGTGTCATGGCGGGGGGGGGGGGGCTGCCTCCAGAGGACCACTTGGTAGCTGTGAGCATTTGCGTATGTTAAGTGCACCGTTTTCACTGAGGCTCCAGGCACAATTGAGTGAATGGCAAAGGTTATGGGAGGGGCTATGTCCCTTCTCCTACAAACACTGCTTGGCTTCACCGCCACCCACATCTGTTTAGAGACTTCAATAAACAGTCTAATTCGACGTCTTGTCTTTACATACTAATGATTTGTACTATATTTAAGTGTTCTACTATATTAAATATACCATTATTTTTAGACCATGTTACTGTTTTGTAAAAAGTGTTTATCTGATATCACTGGGAAAGAGTTACCATATAAATGAATTTTCTAGATAACTCAATCCCTTAAAGTATAGGGTTGGTTCCATAACATCTTATGGAAAAGCCCAATCGACCTTTATGGCCAACCCAATACCAAACTTTTTATATATGTCTAAACAGATATTTTGCAAACCTTTTGTATATTGTACAGTTCTAAGCTTTCTTAAGTGGAGGATGTAATTGAACACATTTAGCCCTTTATGATGACTGAATATCATAATTATCAACATTGGCAATTCTGTACTGAGTTATAACGGTGCTACTTTGGTGGGGGTCGGCTATTGAAGTTGATAGAGCTTCTAGCTTCTGAGCTTAAATATTCCCAGATTACTGTGGGTGGTTTTTTCTGCCTTTTATTTCACTGGCATCTATTGCTTCTTACTGCTGTTAGCATTACTCTCTCTAGAAAGGTCTCCCTACTTATTCTAATGCTTCTAACCTGCTGTGACCTAGGAATCCAGAAATCCAGTTATTAACATTGTTCTTAAAGAGTAAGCACCTAGGCTCTGAGTGGGGACCGACATGAGTAATATGTTTGCCTTTAATGCATGGACTTTGTAAAAACAAGTGTGACTACTCAGCATTTTCTGATGAGCTACTCATGTTTAGCTCTGATCTCTCTGTATGGGTGGAGACACCAGATGTGAGATCTCTGGAGTAGGACTACATTCCTGTTTGAACGTTTGGCCCAATTTATAGTTTACAGTAAATGCTATTTTGTTTTCAGAGGCTGATTTTTTAAGACTTCTACCACTTGGTTTGGTAAACTATCTTAGGACTTTAAACAAAATGGAAAGAAACTCCCAATTTGGCTTAAGAATACTTACTAAACTTCTTCAGTTTCTTTGTTGTCTTCATTCATTATCATACATGTTTAGGTATGATCATTTCCCTTACTAAATAGCAGTGCTAGTGTCCACAAACTGTATAAATTCTTTAAATCCTTAAATATGTACTATTTTATTTATCTTTTCAAGGGCCCTAAGCCAGACAGAACTTCAGAAGGGCAAGCACTGAGTGAAGCAAGGAAGCACTTAAAGGAGGAGACACAACTACGACTGGTAAACTTTGCTTAGGTCCTAATAGTTCAGGAACACATTAAAACCCCTACCTAGGGGTTTTACCTCACAGATCAAGGAATATCAGTAGTGTTCTAGCAAATTTTATGGATCCTATGAAATAGTTTCTCATTCTTTTAACCCATATTCCCTACAGTGCTTCCTCAGTCCTTTTTCTGAGCATTCTCAACAGCCAATGGAATTTTACCTATTTTAATTTTTAACTTATTTTTGCTTTTATAGTTTGTGTTGCGAAAACATTAGGTATATAGAACCTACTTTTTTCTTTTCTTAATTAATTAATTTACTTATTTATTTTTGGCTGTGTTGGGTCTTCATTGCTGTGCGTGGGCTTTCTCTAGTTGCTGCGAGCAGGGGCTACTCTTCATGGCGGTGCTCAGGCTCTAGGTGCGTGGGTTTCAGTAGTTGTGGCGCACGGGCTTAGTTGCAGAACCTACATTTTTAAACTATGCTATCTCCCCTCCTCACCCCGGCAAAGATATGTCTCCTTGGATTGGGCAGCTCCTCTTCTCCTTAAGAATCATTAATTTAGAATTGTACGCTTTTATTTTTAGTTGTTATTTCTGAATTTATTCTTGTTCTTATACATAAACAGAAAAATGTACATCAGTATTAGTCTTAAGATATTCTTAGAAATTAAAAAATATATATATACATATATAAAAGAATGTGTAATAAGGACTAATACTCCTATAATAGATTTTATCCAAATATTAGTATATTAAATACACCGTGGTATTAGTACATTAACTCTTCCTGTAATTTAGATAGTATGACGACCAAATAATCCCCCTCCAATAATGTCTCTAACAGCAGGGAGAAGTCTAAAACTAAGGGGTGATCTGATTCGTAGTTTGTTATAACAAACAGTGTGTAGAACAGAATTTCAGGTTATTTTATAATGTTACTTTAACACTGTTATTTAACATCCTTGAAATATTTATCATTTTCCTTCTATGTGTTTGTGGATTTGATCTCAAAATACTTTCCATAAGGAAGGTCCTAGAAATAATGTATGTCAGCATTTTAAGAAGCAGTCTGATCTTGTCTTCTGTCATGCTAACCATGTACAGAAGAGTGCCTCAGTTAAGTGGCAAGTGAAAAAATTTTACATAAAATTTTCCACATTCTCGTACCACATTAAGATAAATGTTCATTAAAAGAGAAAGAAACCAAGCAAGTAGGCAAGGTTCTGAATGTGCCCTGGGCACAGCATGGATGCAGAAGAACCTCAGGTCTTTGTACCCCTGATCATCCAAATAATGTTGCAGTAATAATGGTTGAAACAAAAATACATCTCATGATAAATGAATAGAAAAATTCAGTTAGCCGCTATATTTAAAATAGATAACCAACATGGACCTACTGTATAGCACAGGGAACACTGCTCAATATTCTGTAATAACCTAAATGGGAGAAGAATTTGAAAAAGGATAACGTGTATACGTATAACTGAATCACTTTGCCGTACACCTGAAACCAACACAACACTGTTAATCAACTATACTCCAATATGAAATACAAATTTTTTAAAAAACTCAGTTAGCCATATTGACCATTCTCTGTAACTGAGATGTTACCTTGGGGACCCAAAGTATCTTTTGAGTTCCTTGGGCTCTTGAAAATGTCAGTAGCCTCCAAATGAAGAGAATTCCAACTGCTTCATTTTGTGCTGGCTGCTGTAACACGTAATATATATTTCTATAATAAGATGTGACATCAGTTGTCTGTTTTAGTATCTAATGAAGTGACTCAAGTATTTTAGGCATATTAGATAGCACTATGTTTGGCCTACGGAGTTTTTCAGATTCGTAAATTATTGAGTAAATGGTACTGTAATTATCCTAATTATTATTCTTTTTGTTAAGGTCTCTGTATTGAATGATAGCTTATAGCTGTTTTGCCAGACTTTATACCTGAGAGTTTTGGTCTACCTTGTCCTGTGGAATTTTGTGGTTTGCACTTAGTTGAGGAAAGAGAGAATAAGTAATTTGTTTTCCTTTCGGGGCAGGATGTTGAAAAAGAACTGGAAATCCAGATCAGCATGAGACAGGAGATGGAACTGGCTATGAAGATGCTGGAGAAGGATGTCTGTGAGAAGCAGGATGCCCTGGTGTCTCTGCGGCAGCAGCTGGATGATCTCAGGGCTCTTAAGCATGAACTTGCCTTTAAGTTGCAGGTAGGCTCACTGGCTCTCTAAAATCCCAGGGCTTCCCTCTGCCCCTCTTCTTCTCTAGAATCACACTTTAAATAGAAGAAGAAAGGGTCACATCTCATTTTGAGGCTAGCTACCAATAAACCACTTTAGGAATCGGTCTATCCTAGGATCCTGTATTGCTGTTCTGGAAAGTCATGGCCACTTTTTACATTGTAACTGGGCAAGAGGGTCTTTTTTATCCTATAAAATAATTTCTACTCTCCAGCCTAACTTGCCAACTGAGTCATATAGATAAATTGATGTACTTTCCAATGTTGATTTTTGAGACAAAACTGCATATAACAATACTAATCTTAAATGTTGCTTCTTGCTTTTTCTACACTTGGTAATTAACTGATATGCAAATACATGAGCATTTCTATTTCTCTAGTTCCCGCTTACCATTAGGTTCAAAAGGTATGTGTGATTTGTTTCAGGATTTTATGTTATATGCAAACATAAACATCACTCATAATTCTTTTCCATAACAGAGTTCAGACTTAGGAGTGAAACAGAAAAGTGAACTAAACAGTCGCTTGGAAGAGAAGACTAATCAGATGGCTGCTACCATTAAACAACTTGAACAAAGGTAAAAGTGCTGTTTCTTTAGTGAAACACTTAGGGCGTTCAGTCCTGGACGTGAAGAGAATGCGCTATGCATTTGGCAGAGAGTATGTGGGAATCTCCAAGCTTAACACCAGGCATGCAAGTAGAAAGCAAGCCAGTTAAATTTTGTGTTTTTTAAAGATGTCACTAAAAACCATTTTAGTGTCATGTGTTAGAGGAGGGATACTTACAAGGATGAAAGGACTTTTAAATCTGTTTGTGATTCTGTTACCGTTCATCACTCAGGTCTTTGAAGACTTTGGTGCTAGGTGATGGAGGGGTACTGAGGGCCCTTCTAATAACTGTAACCCCTTTCCCTCCTCTCTCATCTCCTTTTTCTCTCTGCTTTCTCCTGAATAGTTCTATAGCTTCTACTGTCACATCCCGCCCACACCTCTTAGATCTGTCGGTCTCCCGCTCTGTCCTCAATCTGGAGACCAGTCTTGCATTTTCATCCCCTGACCAGTTACTTCCCACCAGTACCTACAATTCAATCTGCCCAGAGTACATCTTCTCCCTATGCTACTCTTTTCTCTTTCTGTCTGAAGCCACCATGTTCTTCCTGATGACTCAGCTGCCAAGAGAAATGGCTAAGGCTTGAAGATTGAATGAGCCGCGGCACCCATGGTCATTAAGCGTTGCCAGCCTGTGTTGCTACCTGTTAACACCCACTGATCACCCTTCTTGCACCTGAGCAAAACTAAACTACTTACTAGACATGCCTCCCATTTTCCCCATCCATGTCTTGCCTAATAGTTTCACCAATTAGAAATGCCCTTTGTCTTCCCACTTCCTTGTTCTTCAGATACATTTTTTATGTTCAGGCTTCAATGCCACCTACCCAAAGCTTCCTCTAACACTCCTTCCCAGCTAAAAGTAAACTGCGAATTTGTACTAGTTGGAATTCCCATAGCCTTATATCCATACCTATCTATACTGCTTATAGCACTTCTGACTTTGTCCTACCTTATAAACCTTTATATACATATCTTCTGATGAGAGTCTGAGTTCCTTGACATTCGTTAACTAATCCTTTAAGTTCCCTTGTTGGATCTGTCACAGTGCCTTGAGTGTGCAAGGCATTCATTTAGTAAGTGCATGGATGAAAGGGTGAATGGATGGCTTCTTTTATTCAGATGGCTCTTGACCAGGGTGGGTCCTGAACAGCACTGCATATTACTGTTGAATCAAAAGTTAATTGCAAATTAATAAATAAGCTTGAAAACTCTGGTTTGGCTGATTTGAAATGAAAAAGTATCAGTCTATCTCGGAAGTTATCTCAGTGCTTGCTCATAGCAGTTATATGTTTATGATTTAAGAAATCAATTTTAGTGTTCATAAGTTGTGTTTTTGAAATGTATCAGATTATTTTTCAGTGGATTTTTGGCTTGGCATTTAAAGCAGACAGAACTAAAATAATGACTTACCTCTTCAAGTATTATTAAGCTGACTTGTTCTCTTGCTATTTTTGTCTTTCCTATTTATTCATTTTCTCATTCCCCTTTCATTCCCATTTTTATTTGTATTGTATTAATATAGTGAGAAGGATTTGGTGAAACAGGCAAAGACCTTAAATAGTGCAGCAAATAAACTGATCCCAAAACATCATTAGGCATTTTACAGCTGGTCACCTCGCAAGTTGGATACCACAGCTTAATTGTAAAAGGAAGAAATCTGAAAGTTATTGCATTTATGCTCTGATTCTATATAAAATGTCACCAAACATTGAATTTGCTGGACTTTTAAAAAAAAACGTTTGATATATATAGGCTGTGTTTTCTTCTTCTTTATTTTCTCCCCAGAGTTAGAAAATTGAGTATAAGTTCTCAATTAAATACCAAATAAACTTTGAGAAATTACTTGAGTTGACCAATAAATAAACACACCATTAAAAAACATCCTAGGGAATTGAAGCTCTGTACATATATGACTGATACCTTTACAGTCCAGTCCCCAACAATACCAGTTTCTAGGTGCGATGTCTGTGTCATTGAGCCTGTTCTGCCGTTGCGATGTAATGAACTAGAGGTGACTGCCACATGGTCTTGGACTCTTCTAAAGTAGTTCTGTGTCTCTTAGGCCATGACCCCTTTTCACTTTTGTCATCTAGGTTTAATCCCCAAGCCAAGGATAAGTACTTAGTATTCCACTACAGTTCTACTCTCAGTAACCAAGATTGCTTGCAACTATTTTGCCTTAGTGACTTTGGTGGGGGGCAGTGGGGTGAGGGCGGGGAACAGCATCCTTACATTTCTTTAAAGTCATAGAGATAAAGTTAGTGATTAGGTAACTTATGATAACATAATAATGTGGAAGCTTGGGAAAACCCTCCTAATATTTGTCATCTTCTACCTCTGCCATTTTCCTGCAATTCCACTTCCTATTTAGGTAGCTCAGAGAGAACAATTTTAATAAAAGCACACCTCTTCTATTAAAAAAAAAAATACGCTACACGTTTTTCACATCTATCCTGCTTTTCCTTTCGGAGTAAAGACAACAAGGCACAGACATGAGTGATGGTTTCCTGCCTCTTGTTCCTTGCTGGCAACGTTTACTTAAGAGTTTCTGTTACTTTTTGTTCAGATGGGAATTTGCTTAAGTTTCTAGGAGAATAACAATCTATTAGAAAACCATTTCAGAGTAGGAAATAGACAAATGATAAACATATTCATTATTATTATTTAGTCTAAAAATAAAGGTTCCCAGTAGGTATTCATAAACAATAATCAGCAGGGCTTCTTTTTCTAAGTGACCACAGATCTGACCATTCCTAGGCATTACATTGTAATAATCCTATAAATACTTTGATTTTTTTTAAAAATGACTTTTGATTTGGGGGAACAGGTGTTAGTTACATAAGCCTTTATTCCTTCAAAAAGTCTTGGGAAAATTTTTGTTTTTCTGTTTTTTCTCATTCTAGTAGATTTGCAGCATTTCAGCTGCTTAAGTGGGGACAAAGATAACCCCTTTGCTCCCAGCTCTTGAAATTCTTTACTGTCTTCTTGGAAAAAAACAGAATTAAGAGAGTAAGATAGATTTCATGTATGTTTTTATAGGTCCTTGCAGACTTGAACCAAGGTCAAGTCAAAGAAAATATGACCAACTTCATGGAAGAGCCTGTACTTTTGAACTTAGTTTATCTCTTATAATTTTGCACCTCTTCTTACCTTCATCAACCTTTTGTGGTGATGAGGTGCCTTTTCTATGAGCATTTGGAAGGAGTGCTCAAACACCAAAATAAAACATTTTAAAGACTATACATAGTAGCATAGTAGCATGCTCCCAGATTCTATTACAGAGAGCCCCAGATATTTCACCTTAGAACATGCTTCTTTATAGGTGCAAAGTTATAGGATATTTGGAAGAAAACATTCACAACCTTCCAGAGAATATGGTCAGGAATCTTATGCAGGCCCAGTGCTGAATTGTTTGTCCACTTAGTCACACACCAGTTGGTAGAAATGGAAAAGGAAAGAGATAGCCAAAGGCTTTTCATTATGTTAAAAACCCGAAGCCTGGGTAAAGGTTGATGTATAGTGTCCAGTGATTTAATATAATTTGTGGTGTAGGGAAGGGACCAGGAAAATGTTCTAGTTCCACATATAAGAAGGTAGTTGCCCATTTGCAAGTTCCAGTGAGTATAAAACAGAAATATAAAGTACCAAACCTATTAGGAAATAAAAACAAAAAAGTGGATTTAACTTTAATTACTATGTACTTGAGGTTGGCTTTGGATATGGATTTTCTAAAAAGTGATGTTTTATTGTTTATCATCTAATGGCTGTAAACTGTAGTACTAGAATAAAAAAAAATGGAAAATCAACTATTCCTCTGCCTGGTTCACCTTCATCTTGCTTTTTTTAAAGAATTTGTTTCTTCTCCATCTTTTCTCCCCCCATAATTTCTTCCCACGTCCTACAAAGTTTATTTTCCTCTCTCTGTCTCTTCATGCCCTTGGGTTGTTTTATTTTGTGTTTTGAACTTGGTCTTCCTCCCCACCATGGCTTGTGTTTTTTATCACAAGTTCATATGGCTCACATCCAGATTGCACCAGGCTGAGCGAGGCCGCCAGTCTGCTGAATTGGACAACCGGCTCTTCAAGCAGGACTTCGGAGACAAGATCAACAGTCTGCAGCTGGAAGTGGAGGAACTCACCAGGCAGCGGTGAAGAACGGGTGGCTTTAGCGGCCAGGGTGGTCATGGGAAGTACTAAGGCCAGACAGCGAGAGAGGGGCGGTCTCCTGATCAAGCCATGTCTGTTTTGTCCTGCCATGTCCTTTCTCCAGAATTAGAATTCAGAAAGCTTCACATACATAAGCATTCCCAAAATCTCGTCAACATCTTTTGCCATCAAAGAATTAGGAAATTAGAACCCAAGATCCCAGGTAAATAGGATGGAGTAACAGAATTAATAGCCAACACAACACTAATAATAACAGGATTTCCTGAATTCTTACTGTGTGCCAAATACTTTACTAAGCAAAGCACTTCATATGCATTCTCTCCTAACATCTTCCCATCGACCCTATTTGTAGGTGATCTTATTACCCCCACCTTCAGAGGAAATTGAGGCTCAGTGGGGTTAAATTGTCCAAATTCACACAGTTAAGCTAATAGGTAGCAACACTAATTTAAAAGCCAATTTCTCTGACTCCAAGCCCTTAACCATTCTTCCATACCGTCTCTTAAATGAGACTCAACTCTGTACCTAAGGCACTGACTTCAAACAAATAGAACTTTGCTGTTGGATATAAAAGCACACAGTTACTAAGGATACTAGTGGTTGAGGGTGTAACTGGGGATTAACTACGTAACTGTGAAGAGAGAGCAGCTAATTCATATGTAATGGGACTACAGAGTTAGTGCTTTCATACTGTATCTTGCTGAAAATTTAGAAATACTGTCTTTCAATTATAGTAAATCTTACTAGTTGTCATTCAGTTGACCACAACTTTTCATTAAGAGTTAGTATTAAATGTTGCTATTCGGAGCCGTGACCCTCAGGCACTGGGAGATCTGAAAGTGCATTCTTAATCATCCAAGGAAGATTAAACATGTTGAATGTATTTCAGTGTTACTGGTTTGATTGTATTGTATTTTAGTACTTTAAAACCTGGTTGTCCATATATATCTGGTATACTTTTTATTAATCAAGTATTAAAATTTAATTACTGAACTCTAAGAAAAGGGTTTGGCATTCTTTAGAAGATAGGCGTACAGAAATCCAAATTTTCATCGTTTTTCTCTCCCACCTATCCCAGGAACCAGCTTGAGTTAGAACTAAAACAGGAAAGAGAAAGAAGGTTACAAAACAACAGGAGCATCCCAGGAAAGGGTTCCCAGAAGCCAGAACCCAAAACGGTAATATTTGTTATTCCCATGTTTATTTACTTAATTTTTAGAGGCTACCTTGATGGGCCGGACAGTTTTCTCTTATGGAACACATGCTTAATTGCTATGGCCTTGAGTACGTAGGTGGCAGGCGAGAGCTGGAGTAAACACATGGAGGCTTGATTCTGAGTCTGCCCCTGGGTCACTCTAACTTGAATTCATTTGGAAAAGGGGATTAATGACCATAATTCCCAGTGACCATCTTATTCCTTTCAGTTTGTTAAGTAAGATTATTTTAGTATCTAATATTCTTAATAATATGGTATAGTCATCCCTCCCCAACCCTGAATTGCCCTTTGACAGAATTGTCTTAAATATGGATTTGCTTCTGTACACCTTTTTCAAGTCATGAAGATTTCAATTTTAGTATACTCAAGGTACTTCTCTTGGGAAAATTAGAAAAAAAGGGAATTAGGCACGGGGAAAGGAAGGTAATATAGAGTTTAAAGAGCAGGAGTAGAAGCTTCTACAGAACAGTGTTAGGAAAGAGACCTCCAGCAACCTGTAGTGGTGAGAGATCCAACATTGGATTACGATCATCTCTGGGACCCAGGAAACCGAGCCACTCTCTTCAAATAATAAAATCAGGAAAGCGTGAAATACTTTTTCTGTCAAATACAGGGAAAAAAATACCTTCTTTGTAAATATTATATATAACAAAGCAGGACAAATTTATAAGCTTTTTAAAATTCCTAGAGAGTGAGCTGCTAATTTGCTGGAGAGTAGAAAAGTGGTGAATGGAAATTTATTACACCTCTAATGTAACATGTGCAAAGAACCATTCTCTCTGTAGCAGGCTGTCTTTATTATCTTAGTTTAGTGAACATAAAAGCTACGTATAAGGGCGTACAGAGATTTACTTAAAATCTTGGCCTATCTTATCCTGTTTTTCCAGTGAGGCCTTAGATTTCTCAATCTTGAATCGCCGTGCAGTGCGAGCCTTTCCAGGAGTGGTCTGAGAACGTGCATGCTCCTTTTAGAGGCTGATGGGCAAGGAGTTCAAGGCAGACAGCAGTGTTTGTGCCACAGGAGGAATTTGTCCCCCCAAAACTGCCCAGGCAGGGCTTAGCAGCATTGGTAGAAATGCAGTTTGGAATTTTCCACTGGTCCTTCAGAATAGAAAACTCCTCGAGTTGTATAGGCTATAGAAGTTGTCATGATACTGAGGCAACTACTTGACCGAGCGTCTAGAGGATTACACAGTCTGCTGGACATGGCCATGCTCGGTTTCACTAGCTGTCCAGAGCTCAGCTGGGGGTTTGTGTGTGTGTATGTTTTTGTTTCTTTTTTTTTTTTCCTAAGAAGTAACTGATACCTTGAAGCCACTTTGTAAGTAAATAGGATACATTCTGAATTTCATTTGAGTCTCAAGCATTAAAGAAAATATCTACTCTGAAAATCATTTGTTGCAAACCCTATCAGAATCATTTGTTAAGAAACTATTTGGAACAAAGAATGATGGAAAATATCTCGAAAGTTAAACTCCTTCCCTAATTAAAAAAAAAAAAAAGGGCTTCCCTGGTGGCGCAGTGGTTGAGAATCCGCCTGCCGATGCAGGGGACACAGGTTCGTGACCCGGTCCGGGAAGATCCCACATGCCGTGGAGCGGCTGGGCCTGTGAGCCATGGCCGCTGAGCCTGCGCATCCGGAGCCTGTGCTCTGCAACGGGAGAGGCCACAACAGTGAGAGGCCCGCGTACCGCAAAAAAAAAAAAAAAGCTGCTTAGCTTTATACCCAAGCTAAGACAATATAGAAGAAAATGTCTGCAGCATCATCATTGTTTAGCGGTCTGAATAATTAATAAATTGGGCTGTTTTCTTTTGGCAGGATGAGAAGCACAAAATTGAAGAGGAAAATGTTAAACTAAAAAAGCCCCTGGAAGAAAGCCACAGGTGTTTATTAATGAAGTATTAACTAGGATATAAAGCTATTTTGGGGTGGTGGGAAAAAGGGAGCTTTTGATATACACTGGCAATGACACAGACCAGACACTGACTTGTAATATTAATATTTCAGAAAGACATTTTGAAGGGGGAGTGAATAAATAACAAGCCAGATATTAAACCAAACTCATTTAGTCCACTCCAGAAGAAAGAAAGAAAGAAAGGTGATCAAGCTGTCCTCTGATTCTTCCCTGGTTAATCCCCAAACTATCACTTAAAGGATTATGTCTAATCTAATCTTTACTGGATCAGTAGGACAAGTAAATGAAGCACAAACCATAGCATTTCCTAGGTTCTTAAATGTACTTGGGCATGACTTGTTTCCACCTAAGTACTAAGTGAAAGGCAGCTATGTTTCAAATAAATACTCTAATTTCCCTTACTTTTTTTGTCTTAAGGAGAAAAACAGTTTTGCTTTATTCCTTTTTCTTAACTCTTCATCTCATTTCCCCGCAACGAAGAACACGGGATCGTTCCAAGGAAGTTGACTTTTTAACAATTATTTTAACAACAAAACATTACATACTGCCACTGTATTAAAAAATGAAGAAGGTCCAACTATGTGACATTCTGGAAAAGGCAAAACCATGGAGATAGTGATTGCCAGGGCTTAGAGGATGTGGATGGATGAATCGGATTTTGTAGGGCAGTGAGAATACTCTGTATGACACTATAATGATAGATACATGTCATTATACATTTGTCCAAACCCACAGAATGTACAACACCAAGAGTGAACCCTAAGGTAAACTATGACTTATGATGTGTCAGTTTAGGTTCAATGACTGTAACATCAGGTACCAGTCGGGTGTGGAACATTGATAATGACTGGAGGGTGGGAGGTCCAACAGAATATATGAGAAATCTGTGTCCTTTCTGCTCAGCTTTGCTGTGAACATAACACTGCTCTAAAATTTAAAGTCTATTATTAATGACAACAACAAAAATAGATTATCATCAAGGAAAGATACCATAGAGGGATTTTGAGAGACCTATACAGTATACATTTTTGGCAGCTGTACCTGTCCAGCCTTTAATGCCTTAAGAATGAGATAGGGTGTCATCTGGAGCAAAACTAGCTGCTGGGGAAGATAAATCACACAGTCCAACAGTAGGCTGATTTTGCAGGTACTTAGCCTAAACTGCTCTTCCTCACCTCCAAGGCCAGAATGATTCTAGTACCTTTAAGTTTACTCCCAAAGAACATGGTCTGATCTAGGACCAGCCTTATTAAACTACAGTCCATCTAACATTATAGATCAGCATGGGCCATGGGAAGGAATTAGACCACAAAATTAACCAGGGCTCAAAAGGGCCTTTCAGAGTCAGCCACGTTCCAGACTAAAATCAAGTCATTTACATTCAAGAGGGTCTTACATGCCAGGTTCTGATTTTAGGCCCTGGGAATATAAGACAATACAGTTGTCCCTCGGTATCCAGGGTGCCAGGAGCCCCTTCAGATACCAAAATCCATGGATGCTCAAGCCCC